TCATCATCAGTCCTACTGGCTGAGTACTGTGTGGGCGTTCCAGCAAATTTCCGAACCCAGCCGAGAAGGAGAGTGCTGTGGAAAGGGTGGCTGCTGTCAAGAGAGGATCTAGCAGGATGGGGGTGGAGGCAGGTATGACCTCTGCCTTGTGGCAACCAGCTTGGGCTGTTGTGGCGTTGGGGTCCCCTTCGCCCCCCTGGCCCTCTGCTCCTGGGGAGATTACAGGAGGAGGAAATGAAATGGGTGGCTCCCTGCCACCATGAACAACGGTCTCCTTTGCCCAGGGACCAGAAGAACTGGACGGTGCCTGACTAGCAGGACTGAGTGCTTTGGTCGAAGGTTCTATTGAAGATTCTTGATCAAAAGTGTGCGCGCACACAATTTCAAGTTATTAGGGAATCTGGTCTTTCTGGAGCCACCGGAGTGGAATGAACTCCTCAAACGACTGCGCTGAGATCATCTAGACCTCTTTAAACCAGACGTCCCGACGTCTGGAAAGATCACGAGGGCGGTTGTCACTTTCCGAGCCAACACTGTCCGCCTTCAGCGCTGGACGAGAACCACGGCACCAGGGCGGGGAGTTGGTGTGACTGGGAAAGGAACCGCCGCGGGGCATGGTTACACATCTGGAAGAATGTCATCCACGTCACTGGACTGTACATGCGGAAACCACTGGGGTATTTCCAACTATGACAATATAAGTAAGTGTTTTAAAGGACGGCCAAGCAACCTTGCAGAGCACGGGGAGTCCTACTCCCCCGCATGGCGCTGCTGTGAGTTGGAAACCAACTGGACAGCGCCAAGCAATAAGGAAACCGACACCGAACTGAGCTCACTGCCCGAGTCAACTTCGACTCAGGGCAACCCTACAGGACAGGCTTCTGAGTGCAGCTCTTTACGAGAGCAGGAAGCATCATCTTTCTCCTGAAGAGCGCCTGGTGGGTTTGAACTGCTGACCCTGAGGTGAGCAGCCCAACCCGGCACCACTGTACCACCAGGGCTCAACAACAAAACCATAGCAGCAATTCAAACCCATTGATGTGGATGGAGTCTCAGGGAAGCAGGCAGACTTGCTATTCTCTTGAGAGCAGTGAGTGGGTTTGATCTGCTGACGTTTTGGTTAGCAGCTGGACGTAACCGTGGTGCTTCTGCGCTCCTTACCACGGTGTCAAAGGTCCCTAAGTGGTACAAATGTGGCTGCCCTCTTGGTGGTTTGCACTTGGCTGGCAGCCAAATGGTGAGTGGTTTGAAGCCAATAGCAGCGCTGTAGAAGAAAGGCCTGGCAATCCACTTTCGTAACAACCACGCCAAGATCTCAGAGAGCTCAGCGCTGCTCTGACACACACACACACACGGGATCGGAACAGATCTGAGGGCAATGGCTTTGATTTTTCAAACAGGGTTACAATGTTGACAATCAGAATAAAAATGAAAGGTCTCTAAAACCCGATGGGAGAAGGGGCAGGGGAACCAAGAGTATTCCACGTGTACCACACACAAGACTCAGGAAGACCAGCAGCAGCTCCTGGGGCCCTGCAGGGGTGGGGAACCCTATGACCTGGCTCGCAGTGTTCTGCCCCTGTCTAAAGGGGTGCTCTGGCTCTGGGTGGGGCATCTGGCCAGCACTGGACAACCCAGAGCAGTGGCCAGCACTAAAGCCAGGCTGCTAGTGCCACCTAGGGGCTATCACAGGCAGGCCCGCCTGCAATCACTCTCCAGGCACCAATGAGCGACTGGGCTTGATGGCAGCGACCTCATTTTGTGCTTTGTGCACAGGGCAAAAAGGCCTAGTGGCACCTAGCGTGGGCAGAGCATTCCGGTCTGAGCCCTGGTCTGTCACACACAGGCCACCGTAAGTCAGAATGGATTTGATGGCAGTGGGCTTGGTTTGGGTCACATGAGCCTGACAGAAGGGCCTGGGTGGTGCCAGAGGCTAACACACCCACCAGCAACCAGAAGACTGGTGAACTGAGCGAGTCCCCCCCAGAGGCGCCTCAGAAGTAAAGCATGGCGACCTTCTTCTGAAAGCTCGGTCACGGACGGCTCTGGAGCACGATTTCCTCCGACACTCACAGGGTCTCCTGACTGCCACTGTGCACTGGGCAGTTCCTGTGCGCGGGGCCAAGGCCAGGGGGCGGAAAGCACTGCCCTTGGGTTCAGAGCGTTCTGTGCGATGGGGGGGCCATCCTGCGGACCTTCAACAGTGCCTTGGTCTCCAACCCCTTGATGCCAGGGTGACAACCACAGGTGCCCCCAAGCACGGCCCAGGGTTCCCTGGAGGCAGAATCGCGTTGGGCTTCAGCCTGGCCCTGGATTGCAGAAGAGAGATGGGGTGCTGGCTCCACTCCTGAACAGGCCCTGTCCTCGCTGCCCCAGGGCCTTTGCCTGTGCCATCTCCTCTGCCTGGGGCTTCCCGGACCCAGCAGCCTCTGGCCTTGGGCGCCACCCACCTTGCGCAGCTCCTTCCTCATGGCGTGTTTGTCCTCATCCCGCCAGTAGGCATCCTCCAGCTCCTTCTGCTTCTTGGCATCAGCTGCCGCCTTGGCCTCCGCCTTCCGAGCCCGGGCCGCTGCCGCCTTGGTGTTCTCGCCCTGGAACTTTTTGGGCATCCCTCAACAGCCTGTGGGCGGGAGGGGGAGGGGCAAGGGCAGGTGAGGGGTGGGGTAGCTCCACAGGGCCCCGCCGGCAGCACTCTCAGCCTCACCTCTGCTGCCTGCAAGCTAACGCCCTCCTGCCGCCTCAACGGCAGAGAAGGCCTTGAGACTTTCCTTCGCCTGTCTCTCCTCAGTCTCGCCCTCTTCCTTCCTGCCTCCACCTCGTTCCCTTTCTCTCTCTCCCTCACCTTCCTCCTTCATTTTCCTTATTGCCATTTGGGTTGTTCTGTTCCCATTTATCTAGCTGCCTCACCCCCACCCCCTTACCGCCTCCAATTTCTTCTAGGTAAATGCTGACAGTATGGTCTCAGAGAGATTCGCTGTTTTTTTAAAAGCAGCCCAGCATTCACAGGCGCTCTTGTTTTGTGAGTCCATCTGTTCTTCAGCTGCAGGGAGACTTCCAGGGAGGTCAGACTCACAGTGACTGTACAACAGGGGAGAACTGTCTCTACCCCGAGCTTCCCAAACTGGAGCTGTTTACAGGAGTAGAAAGCCCGGTCTCTCCCCCAACAAGTGGCTGGTGGTTTCAAACTGCTGACCTTCTGGCTAGCAGCCCACCATGTCTTCACTACGCCACCAAGGCTCTTTAAAGGGTGTCTCAGGGCCATCACCTCTACCAGTGCAGGAAGCCTTTCCAATGAATCTGAGCTTTGTTCAACATTTTCCTCCCATTGCACCCAGCCTGGTGTGGTGGCATAGTGCATTATGAGTTGGGATGCTTACCACAAGGTCAGCAGTTTGAACCCAGCAGCCACTCCACGAGAGAAAGTATGAGGCTTTCTGCTCCTGTCAAGACTAACAGCCTCGGAAACCTACAGGGGCAGTCCTCCTGTCTCTCAGGGTCACTATGAGTTGGAACAGACTCAACGGCTACTACAGGCCTGCCAGTTGAGCCCTTGTCTGAAAGGTTGATATGCAGTGGTAGCTGGGCTCTACCTTCCTCTCTTAACTGTTTTATTGAGAAATATTTTGTACATCATAAGAAAGTCACTCCAAGTGCACAACTCCTGTGCCATTACCAAGCGGTGCGATCAGTACCACAAATCACGAATGGAACACTCCACCCCACGCCCCGGCCCCCCAGCCCTGGCTCGCCTTCAGTTCCATTAGCAGTCCCGCCTACTTCCCTGCTCCCAGCCCTCGGCACCCTCGTTCCTTTTGTCGGATCACCCTGTTCTAGGCATTTTCTCTAAGTGGAACCATACCCTCTGGTGTCGGTGCCTGGCTTCTCCCCGTGTTGCCATGGTCACCCACGCTGCTGCAGGTGGCAGCTGCACCCTTTCTTCATCTGCTGGTGGACACTTGATTTGTTCCCACCTTTGGTTTTCATGGAAAGGGCTGTTCTGGAGGTCTGGGTTCGAGTCTGTGCCTAGCTGGGACTTACCCTTTAGTCCCCTCCTGCTCTGCCACCTGTCAGGTCTTGGTCCTCAGGTCCCAGACTCAAGGCTGGGTCCTCGTCACCCTGGACCAACAGCCACCATGAGCTGCTCTGCTAGCCGGTCCAGGGAGAATTCCGGACGAGAATGGGAACCCATCATGGACTGGGCACCTGGCCTTGGCCCAGGGGAGAGGAGACAGTACAACACACCCATCCTGCAGCTGCTCCCCACCAAGCTGAGTTCCCCCAGCATCCAACAGGAGGGACTGCTGTTACTCCCACTTCAGGTGGGGAAACAAAGGCACCTGTCCAGGTCATGTGGCACAGCAGGGAGAGACTGAGGTCTAACTGCTCAGGGGGAAGGGACAATGTGCAACCAAGAAATAAAGGTGCCCCCTCCCTTGGAATGTCCCGTGGGCCAGGTTAGAGACCTTCCATTCTCTGGACTTGGTCCTCCTCATCCTGGAAATGGGGAGTCGCTCCTCTTTCTGAGCCTTCCTCCTCTGTCACTGAACACCTCCAGCTCGGTCACTTCCTGCACCTTGGAGAAAGAGCCTCCCACTGAGAACGCAGGGAAAGCTGCGCAGGGGGGGGGGGCATGCTCGCAAGGACGGATGGGCAGCCCCACTGGAAACCCTCCCTTGTGCCTGTGCAGGCTTAGGGCCTCCTATGCCGTGTCTGGGTTCAAGCTCCGGAAGACCCAGAAGTCTGAGGGCAGGTGGGGCAGGCGGGACGGGGAGAAGCACTCTGGACAGTCCCCTCTGCGCTGTGCACGAGTAGCTCGTCTGCCACTGGGGCAGGGTGGGTGAGTGAGGGGACAGTGGCTGAGGAAGGACACACCCTGTATTCTAAGAGCAACAGGGGGCTGAAAAGCAGCTTTAGCTAAGGCAGGGACAGGTTCCAGTTTAGTGGTCCCAGGACCCTGCCCTTTTTTTAAAAGAAAAATAATCATCATCATTTTATTGGGGGCTCTTACAGATCTTTTAACATTCCATACATCAACTGTATCAAGCAGATTTGTACATATGTTGCCATCATCATTTCCAAAACGTTTTCTACTTGAGCCCTCTTTTTGCCCCCTCCCGCCCTCACCCCTTCCACCCTCATGAGTCCTTGATAATCCAAAATAATGCTATTATTTTGTATCTTACCCTGTCCATTGTCTCCCTTCACCCACATTTCTGTTACTCATCCCCTTTGTGGGGGGGGCCTATACATCCAACCTTGTGATGGGTTGCCCCTTTCTCCCCCTCCCCTCACGATAGTGCTTCTCCCACTACTGTTCCTGAGGGTTTTATCTGTCCTGAATTCCACGTGTCAAGAGCTCTTATCTGTACCAATGTGTGCTCTCCGGTCTAGCCAGATTTGTAAGGTAAAACTGGGTCATGGCAGTGGGGTTGGGGGTAGCACTCAGGAACTAGAATGATGTGTATTTCGTCATAGGGCGTATAGTGCCTAGTTTAATCAAGTGCAATGAGTCGGAGAGGAATTACTGAGAGCCGAATGGAGGGTGAGCATGGTAAGTGGGATAGGAGGAAGGTGCAAGGAAATAGAAGAAATAGGAGGCAAATAGGCATGTATCTATGTAAATATATTAATTTACAATGAAAGGGATATTCAATGGACATATATTTATATATTAAGTATTAAGATAGCAGATGAATTTTGAGTCTCTGCTCAAGACCACTTTGTTCTAAAAACGTGGCACTCTTTGATGCTGACCTTTCTGACATGATTGCCGAAGACAAAATGGGTGCAAAAGCAAATGTGAGGAGAGCAAATGGTGGCTGGCTATCAAAAGATATAGCATCTGGGGCCTTAAAGGCTTGATTAAGCAAGCAGCCATCCAGCAGGGAAGCAAATAAGCCCACATGGAAGAAGGACACCAGCCTGTGTGATCATGAGGTATCAACGGAATCAGGTATGGGGTATCAAAAGATCCAAAACAAACACCTATATGGATGTGAACGAGGTGGTTTGGAGTGGGGACCCAAAGCCCATCTGTAGACAATTGGATATCACCCCCACAGAAGGGTTATAAGGAAGGGATGATTCAGCTCCTGCCCTTAAGCACACCACTAACCTGAAAGTTGGCGGTTCAAACACACCCAGCAATGGCCAGGAAGACAGGACTGGCAACCCTTCCCAAAGGCCACAGCCTGGATGAACTTACAAGTAGTTCTCCTAAGACAGAGGTGGGGTCACCATGAGTCAGGACTGACTCAGCCATTGGTCTGGCGAGAGGTTTCAGTCTACCCAGAGACACCTAGAAGGCTGAGCTAGCAATCAACTTCTGAAAAACCAGCCACTGAAAACACTACGAAACTCAAGGCTACCCTGACACACACAGGGGTTACCATGAATCAGGGTTGATTAGAGAGCAACTGGTCAGCCTCCTCTAGCTGCCCTATCCTCCAGATCCCTGTGAATGTGGGCAAACACACACTGACACAACCATGCTAGCGTGGGAGATGGAGCAGGAGTTCTGGGATCAGACAGGCCTGGGCCAAGGAGGCCATGTTCAGTGCCAGGTACACACTAAAGCTTTCCCACCCCCCCCACCCCCCCACCCCCGGCCTGAAGCAGGTACTTTCACCCCATTTTACAGATGAGGAACCTGAGGTCCAGAAAGGCAGTGGACATGCCCAAGACCACATGCTGATTAGTGGAGGGGTCAGATTTGAACCCAGGCCCAGGCTGCTGGGTCTCTGGCTCCATGCTCCTAACCAAAGTCCCAGCCAGTTCCCCAGGAATATCAAGGCAGACTGGTGCTCTGAGACCACTGGGGCCCCTCACTCCATGCAGAGGGGTGGCCCTCTCACCTCATGGCCCAGGATGCGACTGGGGAGAGAGTGCTGGGGGCAGGCAGCAACGGGGAAGGTCAGCGTATACCCTGGAAAATGAAGTTTGAGTTTGGGCTCTGCAGCTGTGACTCCCCAGTTTCGTCTCCTCATCTGAGAGGTGGGTGTAATGCCAGCCTCTTCCTTGTGCAAGAGCTGCTACAAAGGCCAAGATACCCTGGCCCATTCGGCACTGTTCCTTACCCCGGAAGCCAAGTGTTAAGTTCTTGACGTACCCAACAGAAGTCCCCCTCCTGGCCCCCTCCTCTCCCTCTCAGTTTAAGGCAGCCACACCATTCTCCACACACACCAAGCAAGTTCCATCTCGGCTCTTTGCACATGCTGTGCCCTCTGCTTGGATCCTTTTATTTCTCAAGTTAAGAACCCGTGGGTGGTTCAAACTATTAAGTGCTAAGCTACCAACTAGAAGGTGGGTGGTCTGGGCTCACCTAGAGGTATCCGGGAAGAAAAGGCTGGTGCTGATGAGCACTCTATGGAGCAATTCTACACACACACCTGGTGTCACCAGGAGCTGGAAATAGACCTGAGGGCAACTGGCTGGTCTCATTGTCTGTTTCAATTTTGTCAACTCCTATGTTTAAGGTTCAGGAAGTCTTGACTTGAGAGAACCAGTGACTCTCTCCCAGGCGACTTCTCTTCGAAGGATCTTCATACGTGTGCGTGTCTCCCATCTTTTATTGTCACCCTACAATCATTGAGCGATGATCCAGCTTTCTCACCAGGCACTGGGCTCTGTGGGGGGCAAGGCCAGGCCTGCCTTGTCCCAGAACCCTTCAGAGAGGGGCTCCACAACCAGGTCCATCAAATGAATGATTGGTGGGTGTGTTTCGCGGGTTCCCTCAGTATCGAATACTTCACGGACTCCGTATGGAGGCTGAATGACTCCTCCCTGCTCTTCCTTGCCCTTCTCCAGCCGGGAGTCTGTGCTCTCACCTGATACACCTTCCCTGCCGCCCCCTATGCAACCTCTACCCAGCCTGGAGGGCA